TACAATAAGACTTTATTGTTACCATTAATAGAATATTATGTCATCAAATAATTTAATAACCTAACATCACAAGAAACAAGGAGGTCTTGGAAGATTAAAAGGAACAGGACTTGGAAGTCACTAGAGAGGATATCAAAAGGTTTGTAAAACTGTTTAGGAACAAGTTTATCGGCTGTCCATTATTTACTGTAAAGTATCATAATGTCCCAGTGTAGAAAAAAACGGCTGGAAGGAGTTTATACTGTATACTCAGTAGAGCAGTCTTCCAAATCAGGTGCAGGTTTGGAGTGGTGGATGATTAGGATAAAATGCAGCTGTAGAGAACGTGAGCATGGCTAGAAACCTAGGAATCCCACAGTACCCCCTCTCAAGAATTGCCTTTGGCAATTTCATCCTTTTCTCAAGATGATCTCTATAAAAGAATGAGATTAGTTCTGGATCTAGCATGAGATCTCTATGGATCCACGAACGTTCTTCTGGGCCGTAGCCCTCCCAGTCCACCAGGTATTGGAACCCATGACCTCTACAATGTACGCCCAGGAGGCATCTGATGGTAAATGCGGGTTTGTTGTCGATCAACCTGGGGGGTAGAGGGAGCTTGGTCAGATGATTTAATGGGCTTGTGGCTACTAGTTTGATATGTGAAACGTGAAAAGTGTGATGCATTTTCATGGCTAGAGGAAGTTGTAGACGGACAGCAGAGGGATTGATTAGCTTGATCATAGAAAATAGTCCAATTAATCTGGGGACAAGTTCTTTGAGTGTGAAATCCTTAGTGGAGAGTTGTACCTTCTGACTGATCTGGTATTTGGGGTCTGCTGATCGGTGTCTGTCAGCAAACCTTTTATTGTGTCCTGCCGTTCTGAGCAGTGCCTCTCTGGTTTGATGCCAAACTCTGCGGCTATGTCTGATGTGGTGCTGAACAGAAAAGAAACAAATATCAGTCTCCTGAGAAGGAAAGTGGCAGAGCATAACCCAACGGAGCCTCGAAGGGAGACAAACCTGTTGCAGAAGCGGTTTGAGAGTTATGGGCATGATCAATCCAGGGTAAGTGTTGGCTCCAAGTAGAAGGGTTGTTAATGATTATGCACCTTCATGAGGCTTCGAACTCCTGGTTGCACCTTTCCATTTGATTGAGGATGGTACCCGGAGGTTAAGTTGGTGGTCTCATCCAGGGCTTGGCAGAAGGCATTCCAAATTTGTGAAATGAATTGAGGTCCCTTGTCTTAGACAATATCCTGAAGGATACCATGGAGGTGAAGACAAGTTTGATCATAATTTGTGATGTTTCAAATGTAGAGGGGAGTTTAGCCAAGGGGATGAAGTAAGCAGATTTAGAGAACTGGTCAATGATTGTGCAGATGACAGAATTAACTTCAGACAGGAGAAGACTGGTAATAAGGTTGATGGTGATGTGAGACCATGTTTGACTGGGGGCTGGTAGTGAAAGAAGAAGGTCTCTCTTGTAAATGAGTCCTCAAGGCTCAATGTGACTAACCTGTATAAATAAAGGCTGAATGGAAAAGAAGACCTGCAGGGGGTTGGTTATTGTTTTTGTTTTGTGCACAAGATGGACAGGCATACACAAAATCCTTCACATTTTTTCCATATTTGACCACCAAAAATGTTCCTTGGTGAGGTGAAGCATACATGTTATGCCTGTGGGGCAGGTAAGTTTCACTGTGTGAACCCCGTTTAACACTTTACCTAATACAGAGGTAGGCACAAAGTCTTTCCAGGAGGTCCTGTGCCAGGATCTGGTTTGGTCTTTTGGGTTTTTTGGATGTCTCTTTCTATGGCCCTTGTCATGATTCCCCTTTGTGCATGATGCAGGTAAGATCCATTCAGGGATGCCAGGGTCCTTGGCAGAGGAGAACTGGTGAGAGAAAGCATTGTGTTTAACATTACGTGAACCAGGTAGGTAAGAGATTGAAAAGTTAAACCTGGAAAAAACAACTACCATCTGACTTGTCGGGTGTAGAGTCTTTTTGCCTTCTGGATGTAAGCTAAATTCTTGTGGTTGGTCCAAATGATGAAAGGTAGTTCAGCTCCCTCTAACTAGTGTATCCACTCTTCGAGAGCTAATTTGATGGCTAGCATTTCCCTATTCCAGACATCATCATTTCTTTCAGCCAGGGAAAGGCATCAAAAAAAGAAGGTACAAAGGTGTAATTTCCCATCATCTTGTGCTCTCTGTGAGAGAACTGCTCCCACTCCTGTGTCTGAGGCATCAACCTCCACAATGAACTGCCAGTGCTTGTCAGGATGAGACAGGATGGGAGCTGATGAGAAGAGCTTTTCAGATTTTGGAAGGCGGTGCTGCTTTGGGGTCCAGGTGAATCTTCAAAAAGAGGATGTGAGCTGGCTGAGAGTTGAGGCGTCTTGGCTGTAGTTTTTAATGAACCGGCAATAGAAATGAGCGAACGCCAGGAAATGTTGTAGTTGTCTTCGATCTTGGGGAGTTGGCCATTCTGCCACAGACTTCATCTTATTTGGGTCCAAACAAACCAGTCCTCTCTCAAAAATGAATCCAATAAAAGTTATGGTAAGTACATGAAACTCACATTTCTCAGCTTTGACAAATAGTTGATTTTCAAGGATTCTTTGGATAACTATGTGTTTGGTATGTTGTTGTTCATCTTTTGACTAAATGAGAATGTCATCTAGATACACAAACACAAATATATTGAGAAAATCTTTTAAGATGTTGCTGACTAGGGTTTGGAAAACAGCAGTTTGTCCAAAAGACATGACGGTACTCAAAATGGCCTAATGGGGTTTTAAATGCTGTTTTTCTCTCATCCATTCCCAAATTCTCACCAGATAATAGGCATTATAGAGATACAGTTTTGTGAAGACAGTGGCATCTAGGAGTTGTTCACATACTGAATAAATTAGAGGTAGAGGATATTTGTTTTTAATATTTATTTTATTCAGACCTCTGTAGTTTATATGTGGTCTTAAAGTTTTATCCTTTTTGGACACAAGGAAAAACCCTGCCCCGACCTTTAATATTTTGAGGGAAATGGAGGAGATGGTCTGTCCTGTGAGAGCGGCCATGGTGATTGTACAAGTTAGCTCCATAGTGAGTACTTCAGTTTTTTGACCAGGTCTATGCTGATCATGTTTTGTTCTGCTCCTGAGTTGACTAGAGCCTGGATGGGAAAATGTATTGTGTCGACACAGATTGTCAGGAAACATAATACTTTTCCAGGAAAAAGAGAATAAGTACCCACCAGTATCTCCTGGGTTACTGGTGAGCTTTCCCTTTTAATCAAAGCCAACAGGAAGCAATGGCAAGGCCCTTCTTACCACAGTAGAGGCGCTAATTGGAACTCATGCGGCGCTGGCTTTCTTCAGGCGAAAGTCACATCTATCGTATTTGCATAGGCTCTGGTTCGAAGGAAGCTGTTAACGGTGGGAAAGAAGTACTTACGTAGCGGGATATTCACAGTAACTGTAGTTTCCTTCCATGAAATGTTTTCGGAATTAATTATTGATCAGGATAGCGAGGTTGACCAAATCATCCAGTTCTGATGGGATGTCCCTGGTGGTTAATGATCCTTGATTTGATCATTTAGTGCGTTGATGAAGGCTCCTTTCAGAGCTTTTCTCCCCCATCCAGACTCTTCCGCAACAATTCAGAAGTGGATTGCGAACTCAGAAACTGATTTTTTACTTTGCCGTAGTGTGAAAATTTTCGGAGCTGCCTCCTCCTGTTGAAGGGGATGATCAAAAACACGTAAGAAACCTTTGAGAAAAATAGAAAAAGTTATTGATTCAATGGGACGTTTATGGAGGGAAGAATGCGCCCATCAGAGAGCTTCTCTTCTGAGAGAGCTAATTTGATAAGAAATGTAAGAAGAATTGGAGGAGTAAGTTAACAGGGCGTGATTAAATGCAAGGTTACACTGTAGAATAAAACTGCCACATTGATTGGCATTACCTTGAAAAAATTTGGATGGACATAAATCAGGTTCTTGGAGAGTCATGATGCTCGTGTTGACAGTTGGAGTAGTTAAGGTTGATGAGGAGCTGAATCTTGGGCGTGGGTAGGAAAGCTGAAAGTTTCTGTCCAATTGAAAAAAAATCATGCTGCTGAGTTCGTGAAGATTAGTTTGGGTGGTTTGTTGCTGGGAAAGAATTTGCTGTAAAGTTAGGTCATGGCAATCAATGTGTTTGTTCTGTGCCTGAATAGAGTTTTGAATCTTCCCCTCCTCAGTCTTGCTTAGAGGGTCAGGTTGGCTAGGACATTCTTACATGATTTTAGTTAAGGTTGACTCCAAGTTGGCAGACTGAGAAAGAGACAGAGTCAGGCATACAAAAGGTAAGTGCTTTTATTTACAAGTGTTGGTGATGTTCAGAGCTGGAATGGAAAAAAGGGCAAGGTGAGTATTTTGTGATGCTAAGGTACATTTTTACATTGAGGAAATTCCATTCTGTAATTGTTCCACTAATCTTAGAAACCATATTTCACAGACTAGACAACCCCTACCCATCTTTACTCTTGATTCAGATTTTCTAAAGGGCTCTTTTTATATCCAGTACTCCTACTTATCTATTACCAATTAACCTAATTTGTTGCAAAATGCTCCTCCAGCTATTTCTTATTTGTGTCACTTTCTTTTACAGCCTTTTGTTGCTCCTGGCCCAAGCTTTATAAATGTGTTGCCACTATCAAATTTGAACTTACCTTACTTTTTCCAAGAACTTATAAAATTAGTCCTGTAAACATTTGATAAGTTCATGTTCCACTGCAAATAGCCTAAGTTAACTAGAACTGAATAAACGTTAGGAGTGAGTGTGAACCTGCATGTTTTTCTACAAGTTTGTGATGGTCCAGTGAAGGACTGGAAATTTAACTGTGGTGTACCCCACTTCTGCAGGATTATTTGCCTACAGAAATGGAGGAAATGAGTACAAAACAAATACAGTTCCTAAAAGTGTATTAACAAAATGGAAATGTTAATGTGAGGCTGAAGAGGTGAAGTCTAACTTACTGTGACAGTTGGAGCAGCGAAGGCCAAGCTGAAGAGCAAAGGCAGGGGACAGACTTCCTGTCTGGGCAAGATGTAGGGGAGTGACAGACTGCGATCATTGCAACTGTACCCAGAATGCACCGGTTGGAAAATGTCCGTCAGCTCCAGGAAATAAAGACTGACAACTGAGGTAGCCAGGATGGGGAGCTGCAAGAAAAATTAAAATCCAAAGACAATACAATTAGACAAGAGTTCACGCTATTTTAACAAAATCTCACAAATAAGGAAATTATTTTTTTAATTTTATGTAAATATACCCCAAATGAAAATTTCTAAATTATTATAACCCCCACCATTGCAAAAAATCAATGTCTGATTTCTAAGGACACATTCATTTTAGTGAGTTCCTCCTCATGATCATCACTACAGCTGAAGGACATGGTCATCATTTTATACAGCTACATGGTCCTGGTACCTTTTTGTGTTCAACCAAAGCAAATAACCACAAAATTATCACCCAATACCAAAGACAGAAGCAGAGAGATAATTTATTGCTCATGTCTGTCTGTTAGCAAAATATCTAATGAACAACTGGATGACGTTGAATGAACCTTTGAGAGCGTAATCGTATAGTCACTGTATAATGGTACATGTATTTGTACTGTGATGGTTTGGTACAGTGATGGTTTGGTACAGACATTTGGGATGAGTACATGAATTGGTCAGTCACAAGTAATCAATGATCCCTTTTAGAGATGGGCAGGCATTTTATTTATTCATATTTTGCTAACAGCCTTGACAGAAAAGAAACAAAGAATGATACTATCCTGATGCATGCTCAATAATCCAGGTAGAAAAATCTAAAAAAGTTCGATCTAATCCTCTGGACATTCAAAAAACAAAAGAAAGCAAAACAACAACAACAAAAAACTGTAGAAACCAGTTTGCTGCTGACAACCATGTTCAGCAGCAAACTGGTTGATCCACTCTGAGAAGGTGCTATTTATAAGACTGAGCTGAATACAGCACCTCAGACTGAGGAAGTCTTTCGGATGAAAGACGAAATGGTTCTACATTTTTTTGTTGTTGTTGTTGTTTAGTTTTTTTTTGAATGTCCAGAGGACCAAATTTAACTTTTTTAGAAAGAAATATACTATTTAAGCACTTTACATGAAGTGCTATTTTAAACCAGCAGTGATGGAAAATGTTCTTCATCCCACTGATAGCAGCCAGCTGCAGCAAAGAGGGTAGAGAGGTGACAGTTCGGCAAGCAGTTGTGTCATGTATTCAGCGAATTTAATAAATATTTGTATATTTATTCAGTATTACTGATATCATTTGTCTTTTTGTCCCATGTCACTGAGAAAAAAGAGGGAGTTGAAAATGCCAAACATCCATGTGTCCATCCGTGACTGTTGTGATTGCAAAAACTTTTAAAAAAAATAAGGTAGGTACAGACTTACATTTTGATATGTGCAACATGTAGGTGTAAGAAATGTTCCTTTTCAAAAATTGGGTTGTCAAGTAAAAATCCAAGATGGCCACCACCACATATACATCCATCCATCCACTTATCCATTATCTTTACCCGCATCTTCCTTTTCAGGTTGCGGGAGTCAATGGAGCCTATATCCAGCAATCACTGTGCGAGAGACGGGGACACCCCGGACAGGTCTCCAGTCCATCACAGGGATACAGAGACAAGCAAGACAAACAACCATTCACTCTCTTACTCACATCTAGAGACAATTTAGAGTTACCAATCAGCCTAACATGCATGTTTTTGGTCTGTGGGAGGAAACGGGAGTACCTGGAGAAAACCCACGCATGTACGAAGAGAACGTGCAAACTCCACCCAGAAAGGCCTCCGGACCGGGATTTGAACCAGGGACCTGCTCGCGGAGAGGCAGCAGCTCTACCAGTTGCGCCACTATGCTGCCCTGTGGTTTGAGTATTCTCCTTTAAATCAAGTGGAATGGATTTGTTCACAAAGAAATAGAAACAAGGCCGACTGAACTAATGTTTCACTGTAAATGTAAATGTACTCTTTCAATGTTGATGTGTTCATGCGTGCACATCTGCTCACAGACTCATGTTCATGTTTGTGCTGATGTTCAATGTTTTATGTTATGAGTGCTTAGTGTATATTTAGTTGATGTTTTTCTTAGTTCATATCTTAGATGTTATTACTGTTTTTCTTAGACATTTTATTGTTGGATGTAACTGGGACCCTGTGTACATAATTTCGCTCCACCACATGTACCACATGAGGTGTGAATGACAATAAAGAAACTCTGACTCTGACTCTGACTCTAAATGTGGGAGGGTCCAAATTAATGTTTTTTTTATATGTGGGAGGGACACGTCCCCTTCACATATAATGGTTGTGACGCCTATGAGTCAATACATTGCATAGGTTTAACTTATTTACATGGTGTTGTAATCTGTCTTGGGTGGGGGGGGGCACATATACCTGAATGGGCGGGACCGGCGGCCCGGCCGGCCCGACCACTGGCACCGGGTCCATGTATATATATATATATATATATATATATAATATCCTTCCTGTGGACCCTATATATATTACAGTATATCCTTCCTGTGGACCCACCACCTGCAGGAAAAGCCATAAAAGTCGGGTGCGTAATGCCATGGGCAGTGGCCGAAGGTGGGGACCTTGGCGTTCTGACGCTGGCTTACCAAAGCTGGCTCTTAGGACATGGAACAGGACCTCTCTTGTGGGGAAGGAGCCTGAGCTTGTGCGTGAGGTTGAGAGGTACTGACCAGATATAGTTGGGCTCACCTCAACACACAGCATGGGTTCTGGAACCAATCTCCTTGAGAGGGGTTGGACCTTATTCAAATCAATTCAATTCAATTCAAAAATACTTTATTAATCCCAAAGGGAAATTATTTGTTGTTGCAACTCGTGAAAGGCATTTCATTCAACAATGATGATTCCAGCTACAGGCAAGAGGTGGAACACCTGAAGAGCTGGTGCAAAGAGAATAACCTTCACATCAATGTGAAGAAGATAAAGGAGATGATTGTGGACTTCAGAAGGAACAAAAACATCTACACCCCCCTGAACATAAGAGGATCTGTGGTGGAAGTGGTCTCCAGCTACAAGTACTTGGGTGTACACATGAATGACAACCTCAGCTGGAGCAACAACACCACCAGCCTGATCAAGAAAGCTCATCAGAGACTTTACTTCCTCAGATGGCTGAGGCGAGCTGGTCTGGGAAGCTCAGTCCTCACCTCCTTCTACAGGTGTGCAGTGGAGAGCATCCTGTGCTCCAGCATCAACGTGTGGCATGGAGGCTGCACAGCTGCAGAAAGAAAAGTTTTGCAGAGAGTGGTAAAGGCTGCACAGAAGTCTGTCGGAATCAGCCTCCCCATCATCACAGACATCTACACCTCCAGATGCAGGAAGAGGGCCACCTGCATCATGAAGGACCCCACTCACCCAGCACACACACTTTTTGCCCTGCTTCCCTCAGGAAGGAGGTTGAGGAGCATTAAGTGTAGAACCACTAGACTGAGGAACAGCTTCTACCCTGAGGCTGTTAGACTCATGAATCTCTAACTAGAATAATCACTGTGAAAAACCACATCATGTTGCTGCTGACCTGTTTCAATGTTGATGTGTTCATTCGTGCACATCCGCTCACACAGACTCATGTTCATGTTTGTGCTGATGTTCAATGTTTTTATGTTATGAGTGCTCAGTGTATATTTAGTTGATGTTTTTCTTAGTTCATATCTTAGATGTTATTACTGTTTTTCTTATACATTTTATTGTTGGATGTAACTGGGACCCTGTGTACATAATTTCGCTCCACCACATGTACCATAAGAGGTGCGAATGACAATAAAGAATCTCTGACTCTCTGACTCTGATTAAGAGATGTTATAGATACTGATGGCTGTAGACAGGAAGGATCTCTTGTAAAAGTCCATCCCACAGCGGATCCTAAGAAAGTGGCTATAGATGCCATCCAATCCGTCCACTCAGACTCGGCTGGCCTCTCAGTTCCCCCGGGCTGTAGGACCACCCGAATGCTGGGCAGAACTCCTTCCAGAACGATGACCACTCCTCTCAGCAGTCTTTTGAGCTCCTCATCTCTGCAGACAGCTAGCTGCAGGTGTCGGGGGATGATCCTGTCCTTCCGCTGTCATGAGCCATGTTTCCTGCTAGTTCCAGGATCTCAGTGGTTATGCACTTGAGCGCAGCTGGCAGGAGATGAGAATGCGTCCACAGAACAACCTTTTCAACTAATTTGAGATTTTGGGTTGTAGTTGAGATATTATTTGAGCTTTTGAGATGTTAATCAGCTGCTGTTGGTTGTAGAAATATTAATCAGCTGCTGTTGGTTGTAGAAAATTGCCTTGTTGCCATGGTTACACATCATAACAAATGTCCAAAACTAAAAAAGTTTCAGTAAAAATCCTTCCAGCTGCACAGCATCTGATACCAGAGGAAACAATCATCAAAAAAAAAAAGTGATTTACATCCAGAAAAATAGGAATTAAAGTTTCCAAAACCAAAATCTCAGAATGAAAGTAACAGAGCTGCTCCAACATGGAGCCACCTTGAGCGGCGCAATTCTAGAACACTCTGGAGTTGCCCATGGTGAGAGGCGTCAAGCTGGTGTGGGTTTACTTGTAGCCCATTGACTTGGTGCCTGTGCATTGGAGTTTTCCCCGGTAGATGAGAGGGTGACTTTCCTTTGCCTGCAGGTGGGGGGACGGGCTCTGACTGTTGTCTGTGCCTATGCACCGAATAGCAGTTCAGAGTATCTGGCCTTCTTGGAGTCCTTGGCAAGGGTGCTGGAAGGTGCACCAGCTGGGGACTCCTTTATTCTGCTGGGGGACTTCAATGCCCATGTGGGTAATGACAGTGTGACCTGGAGGGGCGTGATTGGGAGGAATGGCCTCTCTGATCTGAACCCGAGCAGTGTTCTGTTGTTGGGCTTCTGTGCTCGTCATAATTTGTCCATCACAAACACAATGTTCGAACATAAGGGTGTCCATAAGTGCACTTGGCACCAGGATGCCCTATGTCGTAGATCAATGATAGACTTCATAATCGTGTCATCTGATTTGCAGCCGTTTGTTTTGGACACTCGGGTGAAGAGAGGAGCTAAGCTGTCAACTGATCACCACCTGGAAGTGAGTTGGATCAGATGGCGGGGGAAGATGCC